TGGGAAAAACTTGGAAAAGACCATTGGCTTACCTGAATGGTCGTTCTCGAGGCGCTGCGGAGTGTCCAAGCTCAGCTCGGGTTAACTTCAGCTTGCTGCCCAAGGAACTGAGTTTAATTTTGACTGTAGCTCCACCCCCTGGTTACCTCAGGGGCTCAGTTTCAAAAAATGAAGGAGATCAATAGTCCATACTCGAACTATTCCAAGTCCAAGATTAAGACATGAAAGGTACTAATAACACACCTCGCAGCCCCACCTTAAGGGTGGGTTTGGACACTCCACAGCACCTCGAGAAAGACCATTCAGGTAAGCCAATGGTCTTTCTCCTAGGCCGTGCTTGGAGTGTCATGCCAAAGCTATGTCGAAGTCGGGAGGGAAGAAGAAATGTCCAGGGCAGCGGTGCTTGCCACGACCCTCTGTAGAACTCTCCTCCCAAAGGACGCCTCAGCGGAGGCGAAAGTGTCAAGTCTGTAGTTACAGATGAATGGAGATGGGACCAGACCACGTCGCAGCACGGCAGATTTCTTCAATTGGTGCTTGAGTAGCCCAGGCGGCCGAAGTTGCTGCGCTCCTCGTAGAGTGTGCTGTGATACGCAAAAGAACCAGTCTGGTCTGAGTCTCGTAAGACATCTTGATGCTCGCTCTGAGCCAGCGTCCGATGGTAGAGGATGTGACTTTCTTCCCCATGGAAGCCGGCTGGAAAGACACAAATAAGGCTTCCAACTTATGGAAGGGAGCAGTATGTTTGATGTAGATGCGCACCGCCCTCCGCACATCCAGTTTGTGCCATGTCACCTCTCTCTGGTGCCTGGGTTGAGGACAAAAGTCCAGAATTATCACCTCCTGCGCCCTGTGGAAGACAGTGTTAATCTTCGGGATGAAGACCGGATCCAATCTTAAGACGACCCTATCGGGGTGGAAAATACAAAGGTCGCCTCTAACAGATAAGGCGGCCAACTCCAATATCCTGCGGGCTGAGGTGATGCCGACCAGAAAGGCAGTCTTTAGAGTCAGGTGGCATAGGCCCACCGTCCGCAAAGGTTCGAAGGGTGGCGCGGCAAGTGCCTGCAGAATGACAGTCAAGTCCCAGGTAGGGTACCTATGGATGGGAGGCAGACACAAGTTGGATGCCCCCTTCAGGAACCCTTTTACCTGAGGGTGCCGGGAAATCGGTAACTGAGTGTCAGAAGACAGAATGGTGCTCAGAGCTGCCACCTACCTGCAGAGAGTGTTTGGCGCCAGCCCCTTGTCCAAACCGTCCTGTAGGAATTCAAGGACTTGCGGAATGGTCGCGGAGGATGCCACAAGGTGATGGTTGAGGCACCAACGGGAGAAGGCCGACCGAGTTGCCTCATAGATTCTGACGGTGGAAGGTCATCTAGAGGCCTGAATCGTCTGGATGACTCTGTCGGAATAGTGATGAAGCCTCAGGAGGTCCCCCTCAAGTGCCAGATGGCCAGCTGCAGCCACTGGGGCTCCGGATGTTGGACGGCCCCCTGGCTGAGGGAGATTTGCTCCTGAGGTATGCGCCATGGCTGGGACACTGACAGGCTGACCAGGTCGGCGAACCAAGTCCTCCTTGACCAGTGAGGGGCTACCAGAAGCACCTCCGCCCCCTCCTCCAGAATTTTCCGGATGACATGCGGAATCAGAGGAAGAGGGGGGAAGGCATACAGTCGACCCGGAGGCCAGCGGGATCTTAAAGCGTCGGTGCCCTCCGCCCGGGGGCAGTGGAACCGGGTGAAGTACCTGAGAAGGTGGGCGTTGGCTGGCGAGGCGAACAGGTTGACCACTGGGTGGCCGAACCTCTGGGACAGCTGGTAGAACAGTCTCGGGTGCAGCCACCATTCCGAGTTCTGGATGGTGGTCCTGCTGAGCCAGTCCACCGTCACATTGTCCACGCCGGAGATGTGGTCTGTTCAAATTGACGCTAGATGTCTCTGCCCAGCGACCCACAGCCTCCGCTTCTGACATCAGGGCCAGGGACCGCGTGCCACCTTGGTGGTCGATGTAGGCCTTGGCGGCGATGTTGTCCATCAGAATCAGTACATCGCGGCCCCTGACTTGGTCGCGGAAGTGGCGCAGGGCGAATTTCGCGGCCCGAAGCTCTAGCCAGTTGATGTTGTGGACAAGCTCCGCCTGCGAACACCTGCCCTGGACCACCGATGCCTCCAGATGAGCGCCCCAGCCGAAGAGGCTGGCGTCTGTGGTGATGATCAGTCGCTCCAGCTCCCTGAAGTGACTGCCTTTGAGGAGGGCATTCGACTGCCACCACTGGAGGGACCGGAGGACCTTCGGGGGAACCTGTATTACACATCTGGAGTTGCTGGCTTTCCTTCTCTGGAGCGGGAGCAGGAAACACTGCAGCTCTCGCGTGTGTAGCCGCGCCCACGGGACCACCGAGATGCACGATACTAGCTTCCCCATCAGCTGGGAGAGGGAGATGACTGATGCAGACCCGGTCGAGTGGATGCTCTTCACCAGGGTCCAGATGCTGTCGACTCGCTCCTGGGTGAGGAAGACTTGACAGGCATCGGAGTCGATGATAGTCCCAAGGTCCTGGATCCTGCAGGTCGGGGTCAGGTGGCTCTTGGCCAGGTTGACGGAGAACCCGTGAAGCTGCAGGACCTTGATGGTGGTGGTCAGGTCTGCGTGGGCTTGCCCCCTGGACGACGAGGGGATGAGGATGTC